ATGTAACCGGCCGATGCGATATATCGAAAATAAATTTCTTCGCCGACACCATTTTCCACATTTTCTACGACGGTGGTGGCTAAGTGGTAAGGTCACCAAGTTGTGACCCTGGAAGTCCCGGGTTCGAATCACTCCACCACCGTCCCTGTTCACTCCACCTGTATTTCCCCAGGCAGCCTTTGTACGGCCACATCCCGCTTCCTGAAAGCTGGCTTTACATTTGTATATTCAATAAATAAAAAGGAAGTAAAAGACATTTGATTTTTTGATTTTTTTGAAGTATACCACACAAAGAATTTGTATTGTTCTTTTTTGGCTCCTTTTATTTACTTTTATTAAACATATAATGATACAGTTTTCATAAAGGGGGATTGGGCCAATTAAAGGGCTGTCATGCAACACACACAAATTGGAAAAGTCATGCTGTGGTTGTAAAATTTGGACATCTGAATTCTCCATCTTCCGCTTGAATTTACTTTCAACATTCTAATCCTCATTCTGTTCTTTTATCCACAAAGGGCAACCACAAGAAAACAACTAAAACCAGAGCACGAAAGTGCATGGTTACTGGTTGTAAGAGCTGAACTACAGTGAACTGAGTACAATATTTCTGTCTAGTACATCATACATACATACAGATCGGCAGTTGCGGTATTGTCATTGTTAAAACAGGAATGTGAAATTCCGGTGTTCATTTAGTTCTGGTATGCACCGCAAATATGACTCTGATCAAATCGTCCAAGTCGTCGACCGCTCATGTCCTTGAATTTTGTCTCACGACCCCAGGATTTAGAGGGGTTTTCCTTCTCCGACCCAAAACCAAAAGCTAGTTTTGTTAAAAAAATCAGTTCAAGGGATGCCAAGTTCTGTTATACACATATAACAAAAAGGTTTTTTGTTGTGATTGTAACTTTCGAAAATTAAAGAAATTGGTCATTTTGTAATTACACATAATCCAAACTGATGGTGAACACGTTTGGTGAGATGATGCATCCCACGTGATTCACAACTGTACTGTCTGATTTCAGATCCGAACTGCTCCGACGCGCGGAAGTGGCCAAATACTCCTACTATGTGAAACTCTATTTCAATCACAAATATGTGGAAAAAACTAACATTGTGTACGTTGCCCCTTTTTCTTCTCTCTCAGCAATTATTTAGCAGGTAAACTATCGATTAGTGTCAGTTATTTATGTGGATTATTGATATGAACGTACGAGGTGCATGTTTACCTGCAAAACTTTCACGCATTTTTTTAATTATTGTTCGCTCTTTGCGAAAGTACCCGCCAAGTTGACCACTTCTCATTTCTGTCTTCACGGTTTCTTTCACTTCACACTCTGTTTATCTGCAGACATTATCGAGAGACATTATTGTTGGAGTAAATTATGTGACAATGTTGACTATTAAATCAGAATAGCGGAGGATACGGTTTGTTTGTATGGTGAATTTCGTGCTGTATAGAGTAAGGGAGGCACAAACTGAAAATCTAGTAAGCACCCGACAGCTTTTTTGATCTGGTTGGGTCTCGCCAGCAGTGCGCAATTCCATCAAACCTGAGACCGCACAGGTCGAACGTAAACAATGATACTACCCACCCGACCACCGAGCCGCTGATCAGGCCATTTTTCATTTTCCCCAGACGCGATACAGCACAACCATATAATTGAACCAAATCATCCACTATTTTCATGTAAAAAATAACGGAAATGAAATGTTTCCAACCGAATTATAACCTCGGAGGCCAGTGCTGAGATGAGCTAGGTGCAATGCCTACAACAAGCTCGCAGGGATGGTCATTTGGTATTGAGATGAGAAAACTGTGATCATTTTGATTGTTTATTTGTTTTCACTCGATGATGTCATATACTTGTTTTGTCTTCTGAAGGATCAAAATCAAGTGTTGTCTTCTGATGTGAGCAATTAGATAAATGTTGTTAGCAGAGGACGAGCTAGACGATGGTTAATTTGATTCCATATCTTGTAGACAACAATCAGAGCTGCCCGAATTCAGTGGTACTGAAACAATTAGAAACCTTTTAAGCACAGGTCTTCTGGATTCCAAACTTTAGTAATTGATCACAAACCAGTTACAGCTTTTTCCAACGGTTTGAAAGCACTTGTGAACGACTGAATTTTTTTGAAGTCGTTGATGACGTGGAATGTCTTCAGTCCGCTTGAACGTCACTGTGAAAGGAGAGAAATTGAAAAGTGACTAGATTGCAATGGTGATTTAAGCCAAGTTAAGATTTCTTTGACCCAAATCTGTCGATGAGGATAAACTGTGGCGATTGGGGTAGACAGGAATGACGAAACGCAAGTGAAACACAGAATCGAACTGGTAATAGTACGCTTGAATTTTCCGTCACCGTTTTCGCCACTGATATAGCGATCGATTTGGTTGAAACCAATCGACAGGATCAAATAATTTGTATAAAGAAATGCCATTGGTTAAATAATTCGCCTGCTTCTGTTTTCTTCGTTACACAGCTTCTGTTTTGAACTGCATTGCATCTGATTGGTTGATACTATTGATTTGTGCTTCATTGTTCTGAACCCGTAATGCATAGCCCCTTTTCTGGCCTTATTTCGGGGGCTTGAATCATCACATGAACCCATTTCTTGTAAACAGCTCCAGGCAACCAGTAGCTTATAAGACGTTTAACTCTCTTTTCCGGTTTGTATGTATGTGTATATATATATATATGCATGTACATATTTAATACCGGTTTGCGGATATGTTTGTGTGGATGGGAAAAAATGAGCAGACTTTTGACAACATGCCAGCAGTGTGCGACGTTAATCAAATTCCAGTACGATCCAACCATAAAATTAACTAGAACCCACTCGTGGCTGTTGCCTACGACACTACATACGAGGGCTAAGAAAATCAGTTCCGGATACGAAGTTGACCTACGAGGTGTAGATAACCGGGCCAGGAAAACGTGAACGATAATCCATTGTAAATATTGTTCTGTGATTTCAACTCACAGAACCAAATATCAACAGTCGAGCACAACTCACAACTCATAAGGGTCCCTAAACGCGGACTGTAGGGATGTAACTCAATGAATGTTACTGGAGGGTGATGATTTTCTACAAAACAGCTACGGTGTGTTGATAATTTGCGTACTGTCTTTGGTGATGATGCACCTTCAAAAAGCGTTGTGTTTGAGGGGTTTGTGGAATTCAAGCCTGACAGGCAGTCCTTGGATGATGAAACACCTTGTAATTGGCCTGTGGAGGCCACCAAAGCGGAGGACATTGCTGTTGTGCAAGCCATGGTGGAGGGAGATGAGCGGGTGTTAGTAGCACAGCTGGCGAAATCCATTGGGATCTCATGAGAAGCTCGGCCTCAGAAAGGTTTGTGCATACTGGGTACCCCATTTGCTCCCTGAGGAACAGAAAGCAGTAGGGGTGAACTTGTACCGCATTATGCTTGCAGGTTTGATGGTAAACGTTCCAATACAGTTTGAGAAATCGTCAGTAGTAATGAGACTTGGGTTCATAACTTTAATCCAGAGACCAAGCAACAATCGGTTCAGTGGACGCCGCTTGGTGGAGTGCCACCTCAGAAATTCCGACGCGAGCACAGTGTGGCAAGGCAGATGGTCTCTGTGCCCATGGCCAAAACCGGTCATATGGCTATTCTACCTCGCGTACAGCAAAGCAGTCCCCGGAAACTGGTACCCCACCCACATTTTCCCGAAATTGCTAGAAGTTTTTGTCAGGTGTCGTCCAAGGACTCGAGCACGAGGGAATTTGTTACACACATGTCCCTTGTCGTCAGAAATTTTCTGGCTGGAGGACGCATTGAGAAGTTTAGTCACTCACCCTACAGTTCAAACCTGGCTCCGTGTGACCTTCCTTTGTTTCGAAATGTTAAGCGCTCGATGCGTGGAATCCGATACGAGTCACCAACAGCTGTAGTAGAGGCCATCGGATTAAATTCAAATACAATAAAATGTTTCAAATCTACCGTCAGTTATTACTTGACATGGACTGATAGCGATGTTGTCAGTTAAACGTAAGACGAAGTAATTTGCCGGTTGAAGAGAACCCAGGTGCGCTGCAATCGCGGACAGTAAAAAAGAGCAAAGCTTCAGTATTTGTGAAGTAAATACCAGTTTTGCTATTCTGTAGAAGATTTGTTTACTAATCCGAGTACAAACGTTTTAATACCTACCGAGAAGTTATCGTTCCCACTGTCTACAATGTTTGTGCCGTGTGAAACTTAGTTGTATTCTCAATCTGCATTCGGGAACAACCGCATTACTGGATTCATCACCAGGCTTATCCATTGTAATTTCGTGATCTCCTCAAGTCTCACTGTGTGATTTCATTTTGCTAAAACCTAATAGGTTTTAGTGAGCCAGTTGGATTTCTGCCACAGACTAGGAACAATCCCGATTGCAGAAATAGCTTTGTTTTTCCTTTAATTTCCCTTCAGGCCACTATCGCAGAATTTTACGGTCAATTTTGCGTGGACATATCCGTTACACATTTGTCATCATCCAGAATCGATTGTGGCCAAGGTAGGTGAGGATAAGAACTTTTGCTCCCCGAACGAGTGCCTACTATTTTCATGCACCTCCTTTCCGCTGGGTAGAATTATGAATAAGATTGCTATTTGGTATTCTAATTTGTTTGCTTTCTTTTATTGGATACGTGATTGATGGGTGTCTAGGGTTGCGGCTGGTCACCCTTCCCTTGCACCTCTTAAAATGCTTCCAAACAACCAAACGCCCCGAATAGCCTCTGCTGAGGAAGCCCTACTCATTGCTTTCTCGTGGAGGAGGTATTTCCCACCAAAATGAGAGGACGAGTAGTTGACAGCTGGGGCTATAACCGGGTTGGCAGATCACTGGTAGTTCACCTATGGTTGGCCAAAAACTCTGATTCCAAACCAACCAAGAGACGGTTTACGAACCACACATTTTCACGGTTGTGGCGGTGGTCACAGGCTCGATTGGGCATAGAGATGCATTGGGNGTGGGCACCGGCCTCCAATGGAATGCAGTTTTCACACAGCGCTCCGCTGCCTTGCGGGTCAGGCTTTGGCTAGCCAAGGGCTCCGGTTATGGATTCCTCAATAAAATTCACCTGTCTTGGCCTGGGAAACCTGACAGTATTCAGCCCATATGCAAATCATGAAGCGCTTTTTCTTTTTATAAAGATTTTTGTACCATGATTTGTTTGACACAGTCTGGATTCAGAAGTGTATGAAAAATATATAAAAATATACAAACATCCATTCAATAGCTCCCCTACCAACTTCTGATTGATGCACCTCCCAGCTTTTGACTTCTATCATTCATTGCTTCACTGTCTTTCGGCTAAATCGGCAGTCAAATGACAGAAATCAAACCGTTACGTGCATCATTTCAAATACTGGTTACAAAAAATGGAAGCGAAATCATTCGACTCAGCATAAAAAAGATAAACTGTAGTCGACGGGAAATGTGAGACCAGTGATAACTGTCATTTATTTCGGTAGATGGGGGTGTGTAGTCCAATCACGAATAGTAGTAGTAGTAGTAGTAGTATACGTTCATCAATTAAATTGCCTAATCGCGGTCTATCAATGTGCCGCTGAGGTGATGTCAGTGTCAGTCATTTAGCGGATGTCACGTGTTGGAGCTTCTGAGTTCAAATGATTGAAGTCGTCAAAGTAGAAACCTGGAACTCCCGATCTCAAACAGCGCCACTACTACACATCTTCCTTATTTCTTTATTTTACCAGGCAGCCTCTGTATAGACGTGGTCTCATTCCTGAAAATTGACGGTGCATTTGTACGTTTAATAAATATAAAAAAGATTGAAAAAGCGCATCCTAGCTACCACAGAGGCTGTTGTAATTAGTCTATACACCCCCCCCCTCCTTGTGCACTCAAAAACAATTTTTAAAATCACTCAACTTCCCATGACGCTCCCTTCACCTCCCATCCTCCTCTTCATTCCAATCCCACCCCAAAATCACACAGGTAACACGGACCAAACGTTAGTGCAGATAGTAAGATCAGCTATATCCGTTTCATTAAACTGGCACAGCAAATAACAACAACAACAGAATCCGCATTTGAATAATTAATTTTGTTTGCTCTCTTCTATACAAAATGATGTTGTATGAAATGTGACATAATAGCCAGTTGATGAGTCAC